TCTAGAGCAATACCACGAATTCCATACGAAGATACTTTTGAAAGTAAAATGTTATGATCAATGACGTCAAAAGCTTTCGAATTATCTAAAAATATTCCAATAGGTACGTCGTTTAATCAGGAACCAAGAAGTAATTGCAGTTTCCTTCGTCATTGAAAAGGCGCTATGATATACAAACCACGATTAGTAAATATTCTGACTATAATTAAAGACTTGATGAAATCCATCTTTACATCATGATGAAAACTAGTGGTTCCACATAATCACGCAGACGTTCTCGTATTAGTTTGCTAATCTGTTACCTCTGGGCTAGCTTTTTGGTTTGTCCCCACCCTCTTCCCAGCTCAATTTTTCGAACCCGTAAGAATAACGGAATAGAAAAGTGTTATTAATAAAAAATGTAAAGATTGGATAACTGAAAAGCTCTATCATAAAGTGAAAGGAAAAGATAGATTATTTAAAATATGGAAATCAAATTAAAGTAATAAAAGATACAGACTAAAAGACTTAATACCAATGTGAGGAATACAAAAAATAATTACTTTAAGAAGAAATTTTATAATAATATGAATGATAGTAAAGGTTATGGACTGAAGTCAATACAATACATTAAATTGAAAAACTGTTAGTAACACTGATGACAAAATTATTAAATAATTTGGAGAGCAGCATGTGAATGAAGTAGTAAATAACTTTGCAAATAACTTTATGAGCCAATTAATAATATTGTAAAAGAAAATGTTTACGATGAATCAGAGGTGATAGAGGAACCAGGAGACATTATTGTTATCTTTTATTTATCAGTACGCAAAATAAATTATATGAAAATAATTATTTCAAGAGAAATTATTCTAAATAAATCCGGTGGATATAATAAAATCAGAGCAAAAGATATTGTAAATAATGCAATGTAATAATGTAGTGATGTAATGTAATGTAATAAAGTAACAATGTTGTGTAATAATGCAAATACTTTTAACATGCTATTAACAAAACTGTTAAATTATTGTATCAGAAATGATACATTTCGAGACAGCTTAAAAATTTCAATTATCAGATCAAAATTTAAGAAAGGTGACAGTCATGATAAGTTTAATTATATGCTAATAACTTCATTACTAGTCATACAAAAAAATTGAAAAATATATATAATGTATCTAATCAATAAGAAATAATAATATATTTAATAATTATCAATGGGAATCTCAAAAATGAAAAGGGACAGAAAAGATTCTAGTACAAGTGGTAAAACTACCAATTGCATGGAGTCACTGCTATATACTTGACTACTCAAAAGCTTTGATACATTACACAGTATTAAAAAAGAAAACAAAAGAAGTTTCTTGCAACTTTTGGAAATTATTTGGATGCTATCTAATAAACAGAAGTTTTGTGGTGAAAATAACTGACAAAAGCAGTCAATTACAATTAATAAAATTTGGGATACCTTAGGGTAGGTGCATAGGACCAGTGTTATTTATTACTTATCATCCTTATTACTTCAGGGATTACGAGAGTCTCCTGTTCTGTCTTCAGCATGCCATCTTAATCTTGGACAGCCGACATCCCTTTTACCATGAGGTCTGTAGCGATATATTTTGTTTTGTTTTATATTGTTGATTTGTTGTGGGATGCGGTCACTACTCGTTCTGTGTAGATGTTGGGACCATCAAGACACTTCTCTGATTATATAATTTTTTATTTTGTCTAATACAGTGCAGCCTTTGACGTGTCTCAAGAACCTCATCTCAGACATCTGAAATCTGGTAAAATCTTTCTTTTTCATGGTCCATGTCTCAAATCCATAAAGAAGTATGGGAATATCCTTCGTTTTAGAAAATTTAAGTTCTGTTTCCTTTCTTGTTTTCTGTCTCAGATATTTTATTATTGTTTCACACATGCTTTGGATTCTTTGGGTTTTTATTGAAAAATATATTGATTTAATTATTCATTATTATCTTACTTTGCATAGGCTGTTTGCCTCTAAACGCCATTACTTTGGTTTTATGAGTTGAGATTCTCAAATTTTATCGTTCACATACGTTATTTAGTTTATAGAGAGCCCTTAGTAACTGATCCTCACTTTCTTGAATAATTATCAGATCGTCTGCAAATAATAAAGTATTTAGAGTGGTTTCGGAGTTTATCTCAATGCCATCTGTAATACACTGTTTCTATTCTCTCAGAACGTTGCCTATTAAATATTAAATAAATTAGGTGACAGGCTACAACCTTATCTAACACCTCGATTAATTTTAAATTCCTTGAATAGTTTTCCATTGAAATAATGGAATGTAGCTGTATTTGTAAATTAAGTTATTATTTATGTCAATAGTTTATTCAGTGTTGTTAATAAGTGTAAGATACACATGTATGCTGATGATGCAATCCTATTATACAAAAATGAAGACCCAAACGTACGTCAAAGTATCCTACAGAAGTAATTTGATACAATTGTTAAATTGTCAAAAGAGAATAATTTGAATTTTAACTTTTCCAAGACAAAAAATAATGAATTTTAAAACAATCACTGCCTGTCAAGTTCAAAACATAATTACGCATAAACTAAACTGTACATCCACTTCAGATAAAATTTGTAAATGTGAAAAGTCAGACTTGGTAACACAATAGAATATTTCTCAAATTTCTCTTGGATACTCATCTCTAATTTCAAGGGCATACTGAAATGGTGTTTGATAAGGTAAAAAGAATATCAGAGTGCATTTATACATTAATGACATTTGTGAATAAAAAAGTACAAAGAATTTTGCTCAAAGCATTTGTTAAATCAATCATATCATGTAGGAAACAAATTTGGGATAACTTTAACTCCATCAGCATTTAACAAATTCCTGCTCTTAATTCAACATTATAGTAATGATGCCTGTAGGATTTCACTCACATGTGATTATCAGGTTAGAAGACAAAAGCATTAAGTTCCACATGTATTTAACAGCTATGGTAAAAAAGTCTATGGTAGTTAATATCCAAACAATTTAATGCAGTTCCATAAAAAAAAATCAGAATGTTAATATATAATCTTCTGTAAAGTTATTGTAGATTGGCTACAAACATGCACACATAAAATTAATTTTAGAAAACAAAAACTAAATATGATAATAAAATATATACAAACACAACAATAAAACTGAAATTCAATGATGATGATGATGATGATTAATATTATTACACTGCGTATGCCCCAAGAACTTTGAAGGATAAAGCAAAGTTATGAGAGAGAACGGAAGAAAATGAAGTGCTCCAGATGGCTACATCTTATCTCCAATTGAAAGTTCTGAAAATTGGATACAAAGTGAAAACAAGTAAATATTTTAGGCTATAACAGTAACACCATGCAAATGTAGTTTTCCATTATTAGACAAAAACCAAAATAATGAAATCTCAAGTCAAATAAATCTGAATCTTCTTGTTATTTCTGTAAATAAATTCTTAGATCATAATACATTCAGAAGAAAAGTTTTAATGTATTTAGTTTATTCACTTTGTGAGTGGTACATACATTTTTTTAAATATAATTTCTGGCACAAAATGTCATATATAGAATTGGTGGCCACTGCACCTGACTACACACATTTTCATTTTCATTATTGTAAAAAACAATGATTTCACAATTGTAAAAGCTTTCAGAGAAAAATCAAAACAATTGGATAATTTGACCTAGTTGCACTTCATATATTCATATGGAGCAGAAACACACTCTACACGGTAACACCAGTTAGGACTCTTATTGCAAAAATATCCTAAAAATAATTTTGTGTGGAATTTTTGAAGGCAAACAGAAAATGAGGTTTTTAATATTTCAACAGGCAAAGAGCAGAGGAAAAGAATGATAACTGAACAAAAAGGAAGTAAAGTCTAAATATTTTAGATACATGTTTAGAGAGATTTATACATTCCGGTTATGGAGGGATTTTGTGATTCAATATAAAAATAAAAATAATTCTCCACTAATGATGTTAATTTCACCAATAACAGACCATCATGAGTAAGCAATAGCTTTTCTTGATATTTCGCTTGACCTTACTTTATTACTACCTCTTTGAGAATATTCTTGTAAAAACAGAGATCTGATGTGCCCTAATAAGCTCAACTAAGATATCAAATATCAAGAAAAAGTGTGCAAAATAATAGTTGTAATTCAAGTTGATTTAATTTATGAAAAATTCTTTGTCAATTGCTTCTTTGAAATATTACATATGCTTTGCTTTTGATCTTGCAAAACAATCAGTTGAGTTTTGCTGATACTTGGAAATAAAATGTTTAAAGTACTTACATGGTGATCCAACCAGCCAAATTTCCATATGTGCATATAATTCATGTGCAGAGTAAGTGTCTGTTTGAGTTTCTGATTTTCCATCTGAATCAGTCACTGATCTACTTTCTGTCCAGTGTACATCTGCTGCCCCTTTGACACGCAGGCATATTCCTGCAAAGAAAAATTTATGATAGAACCTATTTCAAAATGACATCAACTAATTTTTTCCTGTTTCCTTTAAATATTCTGCTTTTCAATATTATTTTTTGGAACTTAAAGGGTAAAAAAAGCACATTGTACTGGTTTAATTCAGTATTGGTGGCAGATTATAAATCTTTAAGATGGTCTTTGTACTACGGATATGAATATTGCTTCTTATAGTTCGTCACATGAGTGTCAATATGTTTTTGTTAAAGTCGGTTGCAAATTTTGTCAATAAAATTTGGCATTGAAAGTGCCGCTCGCAATTACATAACCTAAGATCCAGAATCTGCCATCCAATCAGAAGCGTGTGTAGTTTGTTTTTTGTTTTGTTTGAAGACCATTGCAATCTTGGAATTTACAAGCATTCGCAATATGCCCTATAACAAAGAACCGATCTCCTGACATTCAAGGACAAATGCTTTTACTTGCAGCAAAGGAAGACTAACCTCGTATTTTCTTCTCTTTTGTTGTAATGAGAGTAGCACTTCCTGACACTTGTTGCCCGCCATAATAAACACAAGTGGGATTGTCGAACTGAATTTCAAACTTTTGCACACTCATTTTCTTTAAATCGTACGAAGACTACGAAACGTTTCAAAATACCGTCCAGCACCGAAGCAATGCACCGACAGCAGGAGGAAAGTTACCTACTATACGTTTTTGAAGATCCGTCCGAACAACATGACTAATGGCCTTGCACGTCACTAAGCCCGGTTTTTTGTTCGTTGGCCTCCCATTAAGTACATAGTACATTTCTAGCAGTGACGAGGCGTAGCATTATTTCGTGATCATCGCCAGATATGCCCAGTTTCCGGGCCTTTCGGTCTTCCATTCTGAACGGCACCGGGAGAGGGGAGTCGCAGAGCCATACGTGATTGTTTTTGTTTTTTCGCTCTTTCCTTCGTAAGAAGAGTAAATATTGTAATCTTGCACCGAAAAACGGAAAAATTTCGACAAAATAGTCTTATTCTTAGAAACGAAATAGTTGATAAAAGTTCTTATATTCAGTAAATTACTTCTTCTAACATGTGGTGTAATCAGAATATTTCATGTAAGGTAAATCAGTAAATCTATTTCCTCGAGTCAGATCAGATATTCCAAAGACCTACCACATCCTCCTTAATCAGCTTTACAGGTTCAAATATTCCTTAATTTAAAATACTGTATATTGTGTTCTCCAAATAGTTTATATACTTTTCTCGAGGACCCTTCCTGGGAATCCTTAGTTGTTAGTTTCTCCTACAATATTGCAACAAACATTGTACACATATGATGAAATGTAGGTTCAAAAATCCTATTGTGTACAATGTATGTAACCTAAAACCCTTGAAATACAATCTTGTCGAACAAGTACAATACATTTTTTAAAAAGTGGCGCCATTTTTTTATTATTAAGCTTTGTCCTTGGATAACGTGATCAGGCACCGATCCACAGGGAGGGAAATTCCACCCTAAATTTTTTTCTATTAATAACTTAATAGTAACTATTAATTTTAACTTGTCACGAAACTTTCAAGCAGAAATATTTCGGATTATCATTAAAATGAATAAAATGGTATCGCAGCAGATATGATTGTAGTCTGCGATATTTTTACAAAATCTGTAATATGACACATTCGACCAAAACATTTTTAATTTACCCTCCCAAAATTTGTCTCTGTATTCGCCCCAGGGTAAACAACGCTTAAGAGAATGGTGTAGTCTCATTTTTGATGAAATCGCTGATTTTTTGAAGACTGCGAAAGTTCAACATTTTTGTGAGTCTCACTACAACTACAACTAAAATATTGACGGTAGAGATATTTTTCTTAATAAAATCTATTATTTAAAGTAATGAATCCCATCTTGAAGTAATGAACAATTTTTCGAAAATATGAAAAATTTTAGAGTAATTATGCGTTAAAATATGCAATTTTAAATTTGATTATACAGTGTATTCAAAACGTTCCAGGGCTGTCGCTCGTACAATATAAGTATCGCTAACACTGCGCAGCAAGCGAAATCACGTAACAATATTCTTCTGTCATAGCCACCTGAAGTTTCATTCATTTCTGACTAGTTTCAACTAGTCAACGTTCAATTGTGTGAAGCTCATGCCGATGTCATTGTGAAGGAATGGAGCAACGAATAAACAGTGAATTTCTGCCTGCAGAGATTTGGTTGCAAGGGTGAACAAGATCCCAATTTTTTGCAAAACATTCTTACCGGAGTTGAATCTAGGTGTCTACAGTATGGCTCGGAAACAGTGCTGAGTGAACGAGCTCACAAAAAGAGTCGACTGATGAAAGCGAGAGCCTCCAAATCGAAAACAAAAACGATGTTGATCACCTTTTTCAATAGCCGTGGTATCATTCGCCGAGCATTCCTTCGACAAGTGTCCACTGTGACTGGAGCATTCTACAAAGACATTTTGAATATGCTTCTGCGAAGAGCGTGTGAGGTCCGATTTGCTAGACAGTGGCAACTGGTATCTCTTGCATGACAACGCACCGTCTCACAAGTCCATCATTGTGCAGCAATTTTTGGCAAGAAGACAAGAAGTTAGCGTTGAACACCCTCCATATTCTACAGATTTATTCCCTCCCGTCTATTTTTTGCTCCCAAAATTGAAATTGATGATGAAGGGAAAGCGGTACGAGGTGGTAGAAGCGATTGAAGCAGCAGTGACAACAGAACTAAGCAGTATTGAAAGAGGGGAAATTCAGACTGCATTTGAAGACATGTACACTCGTTGCAAGCGTTGTATCTAATTACAGGGAAACCTTATAGAAACTTGATAACAAATATATTTATATCCTCTGTGTTGTATTGGCTCAATGCCAACAGTCCTGGAACTTTCTAAATACACGTGTAAAACTCTTTCCCCCAAAACCGGCTCCAATTTTTATTCTTAAAATTTCTCCTCAAATGAATCAAAGGACCGGAAAATGGCGCTTGTTTCTTACCAGGAAAACTCTGTATTTTCGAAAAGTGCAAATTTAAAAATAATTCGAGACAGTATGTGCTGTTGTAGCTCAACTAGTTTAGAACAGATTTTGCATACATCTTTATGTTCAATTTCGTAGTTTTAAAACATTTTAAACAGGTAGCATTACCGTTTTGCAATTTTCGGAAATATAGAGTTCGCAGGAAACGCGACTAACACCACTTTCAACCGTCTTTTGATATACAAGAGAAAATTTAAAGAAAAACTTTAGAGCGCTTTGTGTGAAAATAGTTATTTATATCACGAGTCCTCTAAATGAGTTCTTAAAGACTAGTAGAGGACAAGTTACATACAATGTTTTTTGTTATTTCTAGTTTACCGGTTATTCAAAATATATTACTTTTCACTTTCATGAGTTAAGAATTGTCATTATTCTCGAGTTTCTATAGCATGGGATGGTGGTACTGGATGCCTTCTTTGTGATCAAACAGTTGAATGATTTTTCTGCTAATGCAAGCTAATTGAGAAAAAATGTCAGGAAAGTTTCGAAGTATCAGCAGATATTTTCGTGCCAGACGATATTCTGGAGTAGGAAGGAGCTGCAAGCTCTAGTTTGATGCCTTCTAAATCTGCAACTACTTATTAGAAAGCTTATGATTTATTTGCTAATTGGCGAACAAAAAGGAATGTTCGAGGCATTAACGAAGAAATTATACTATCATACTAATTTCAATATATCTGTACCAAAATAATTGTAAAAATGAATTTTGTTTACATGTATTCCCAAAAATTGTGTTTTGTTTCAATGTCATATTTATATCAAAATTTATGAGCGCTGATAAAATTTAAACCCGAAAGTCTGCTAAAATATTTTTAATGGACACAAGAGCATTTTTAATGAATGCTGCTATGGACGCGCTCTTGAAGCGTTGTTTAGATGGTTGCTAAGGGGTTAAGTAAATGTTTACAAAAACATTTACCTCATTTACCTAATATTTGCCTAAATAACAAAACATGTTTAAAAAAAATTAAAATTGCTTACATTTCACATAGTATTACGCGAAAACTACTCAGACTTTTAAAAAAATGTACATGATCCTGTTTCAAGATGCCTTTAAAGATTTTATTGAAAAAAATATTTTATCTTCTATGTTGTAGATGAAGGACGACGACAAAAAAAATTGAACTTAAGCAATTTTCAAAAATTAGGGATTTCAACGACAACGAGAACTGCGCTGTATTTTAAGCGTCCTTTTCTCTATTCAAGGACAAAGTTTCAACCAAACATTTGTAGCCATTTTTGAGAAAAATTTTGTAAAGTTGAGGCTTCATGTAAAGTACACCCCAAATCAAAAATCTCCTTAAAACTCAGAGGGTATAGAGTTCTTTTAAATTGATAGAAGAATATCAATTTTGGAGAAATTCGAATGGTTTGGCGCTAGAATTGGCCACAGACGGATGTACCGACAGACGTTTTGCCATCAATCGATATTTCGGTATCAATGTTCCACAAAACATTCATAGATTGTGGCTACATTACGGGTTAGAGGATGTCATTTGCTACATGAATGAAGAAGATTTATCCACTTCTTCGTTACCAGGGACTGGCAATAATATTTTCTACAAAATATTCGTCCTTTTTCGGAGTACGATTACAATACTTTCTTCATACTAAAGTTTTGGAGAAAACGATGAAATTATTTTGTACCATCTCCGAAGGTCTTCAGATACATTACTTTTGTGTATTTGCTGTTTGTTGTTAAGTCGAGCCACGGGCAGAGGCAACGAGACGCAGGTGCGGGATATTGTGAATCTGAAGGTGCCATTCGCCTTTGATACATTCAGCGGCAAATGCTGATGGCAGTAATTCTGCCGTTTACAGCAGTGAAGAGACATGCAAAGTCTTGATGGAGGGAATCGAATCACAGTCCAATACGAACAAAAAACGTCAAAATTACAATAAGAATTTCAGCAACGTCAAATTAGGTACATACTTTTAAAAATCGTGCTTGAACACCGCAATATTTAATTCAGGTCTATAGAATTAACTACAAAATATTGAATTATATTATTTTACTTATTTTTTTTCTTCACTCGTCAGTAATTTTTCTTCTATATTTTGTAAGTCTGTATAACTGCCACAAGTATAACAAAATTAGTTAGGACTGGTAATGACTCACTCACGGCATGACAATATAGAAAATCAGAACTTTTGTTCACAAATAACTTTGCTTCTACTTTCAAAAAATCTTAAGAAATAATATAATCTGCTCATCACATTTCATTCATGCTCAGCTCCAGACAGGCTGATACACATCGCAGGAAACTACGCATTCCTATCTTCCTGCATCCGCAGATTACATCACCTCCGTTTCGGTGCTGCAGTTCAACAGGAATTTATTGTTACACCACTTAAAGAATTTCTTTCCACAAAATGCGTTGAAGTTCAGTCATTTTATAATGGCTGGTAATTTAGACATAATGTAGTCACTAAAATCTTAGGAAAAAACAAACACTGAAATTAAACATTGTGAACACAATATCCATATAATTATCTTTCTTGATTAATAGCGACGCTGATTATACGTAGCGCGCTGGATTCGCGATCGGGAGATCTGGGTTCGATTCTCAGGTCAGGGAACTACCAAATAGTGCAAAAAACAGAGTTTCTTTGTAGCCCAATGATTGCAAATCAGCGTTACTATTTCGTGTTTCCGGGGCATCAACTGCTATGGCCATTATTACTGTAAATGTAGTGCATGTTTTTTTGTAATGGGATGAGTTAATCCCCCTGGATAATGACACCCGGCGCCGACCTACACGTCGGCTTGCGGGGTATCCCCCAGCCAGGTATCTCCCACCAACGCGGCACAGCCCCAGCCGGGACGAGCTGTTAACACCCGAGTGGT